GTGGCATGTTTGGGACCCCACAAGGCCATCCCCAAAACTTCTCAGAAATAATCCCCCTGACAGTTTCCATTCATCCAGCCTTTTTTCTGGGCAAAGGGCTGGGTTAAGCACTTTCCATGCACAGCCTGCTACAACCTTCGTAACAACCCCAAGACTTAGATCTGTTACTAGTCCTGTTTTGCAGATCAGGAAACTAAAGCTAAGACATGCAGAGAACTTGCTCAAGGTGAAAGCTAGTGCGGCAGAGATGTGATTTGAACTCAGTCTGGTTGACTCTGGGGCCTTGGGCTATTTACCAAAACACTGAATTACCTACCCTGAGGAGAAATAACTTAGGGAGATTTCAAGGTTGGCTGTAGTGCCTTGCTCACCTCGCTGGGCTATTATGAGATTAACAGGCTATGACGGGCATGAAAGCATCTGTAAGGGGTCAAGCCCTAGAAGGGATTATTGTGTCCCTTGAAAGAAGAGCAAGAGATGCAGGAACCCAGAAGAGCTAAGCTCTCCTGCCTCCAAGCCTCTGCCTAGAACTCTTCCTCCTCTTTGCCTGCTTCATTTATTCATTCAACATAAATTGATTGAGATTCACACCAGAAAAAAAAAAAAAAAGCCTCAAATCTTGACCCTGGGCCCTGAGCAGACACTGTTGCAAAAATGGCTGACCTCTTCACTTTTATCTTCCAAATTTTGTCCAAATGTATGTAGAGCAGAACCATATTCACACATGCAGGGTCCTAACTGCAAGGGAGTCTGGGAAATGTAGTTTTTTTTTTCATGTTCTACCTGTGTCCACCTGTGCAGTACAGGAAGGCAGGCTGGGAGGAAGCAAGGGCTATGCCACCATTTCCACCACCATTTCTGCCAGTGCAGAGTTTGTGCATTGAATTACTTTGTCCGGGACCTGCTCTTGCTCACATACCCTTAGACTGATGGTGTGGGGATGCTGACATGCAGGTTTTAATGGAGACTTCATTGAGGACTCATTTCTTGGAGCTGCCATTCCCGCAGGAGGCATTTATGGGAAACTCTGAGAAGATGTCTCAATGTCAGGAAAACAAGAATATATTAATTTTTTTTCTCTTTTTCTTAACAGCTCTAAGATATAATACATTTTGCAATTCATCCATTTAAAGTGTGCAATTCAGTGGTTTTTAGTATATCCGCAGAGTTGTGCAACCACCACGATCTATTTTAGAACATCCTCATCACTGAAAGTAGACTCTCCCCATTTGCCCCCAAAGCCCCCTGCCCTAGGCAACCACTAATCTACTTTCTGTCTCCATTGATTTGCTTGTTCTGGACATTTCACATAAATGGAATTGTATGTCAGCTTTGTGACTGGCTTCTTTCTTTCATTTAACATAATGTTTTCAGTGTTCGTATTGTAGCATTTCCATGAAGGAAATACTTCATTCCTTTTTATGGACGAAGAATATCCCATTGTATGAATATACCACATTTTGTTTATCTGTTCATCAGTTCATGGATGTTTGGGTCGTTTTACAACTAATGCTGCTATGAAAATTTGTGTATAAGTTGTTGTATGGACATATGTTTTCAATTCTCTTAGGTGTATATGTCTAAGTAGAAATGCTGGGTCATATGGTAACTGTTTAACTTTATGAAAAACACCAAACTGTTTTACACAGTGGCTGCACCATTTTGCATTTCCACCAGTAATGTATAAGGATTCTGATTTCTCCACATTGAGCCAAGATTTGTCTTTTATTATATACTATATATCATATATTTTTAAATTTATTTTTTATTTTTTATTATTTTTTAAATTTTTAAATTGAAAACCATTTTCTTTTCCTTCTTTCTTTCTTTCTTTCTTTCCTTCCTTCTTTTTTTTTTAAGATTTTATCCATTTATTTGACAGAGAGACAGAGCAAGAGAGGGAACACAAGCAGGGGGAGTGGGAGAAGGAGAAGCAGGCTTCCCGCCGAGCAGTGAGCCTGATGCAGGGCTCAATCCCAGGACCCTAGGATCATGACCTCAGCTAAAGGCAGATACTTAACGACTGAGCCACCCAGGCACCCCTATTTTTTTATTATGTTATGTTAATCACCATACATTACATCATTAGTTTTTGATGTAGTGTTCCATGATTCATTGTTTGCGTATAACACCCAGTGCTCCATGCAGAACGTGCCCTCTTTTATACCCATCACCAGGCTAGCCCATCCCCCCACCCCCTCCCCTCTAGAACCCTCAGTTTGTTTTTCAGAGTCCATAGTCTCGTGGTTGTCTCCCCCTCTGCTTCCCCCCTTTATTCTTCCCCTCCTGCTATCTTCTTCTTCTTCTTTTTTTTTTAACATATAATGTATTATTTGTTTCAGAGGTACAGGTCTGTGATTCAACAGTCTTACACAATTCACAGCGGTCACCATAGCACATACCCTCCCCAATGTCTATCACCCAGCCGCCCCATCCCTCCCACCCCCCACCACTCCAGCAACCCTCAGTTTGTTTCCTGAGATTAAGAATTCTTCCTATCAGTGAGGTCATATGATACACATCTTTCATATGATACACATCAATCAGATACACATCTGATTGACTTATTTCACTCAGCATAATACCCTCCAGTTCCATCCACGTTGTTGCAAATGGCAAGATTTCATTCCTTTTGATGGCTGCATAATATTCCATTGTATGTATATACCACATCTTCTTTATCCATTCATCTGTCGATGGACATCTTGGCTCTTTCCACAGTTTGGCTATTGTGGACATTGCTGCTATAAACATTGGGGTCAGGCACCCCTATTTTTTATTTTTTAAAGATTTATTTCTTTTAGAGAGAGAGAAAGCACAAGCAAGAGGGGCAAAGGGAGAGGGAGAGAGAATCTCAAGCAGAGTTCCCATTGAGCACAGAACCTGATACAGGGTTTGATCTCACGACCCCCAGATCACAATATGAGCTACAACCAAGAGTCGGACGCTCAACTCACTGCACCACCAGGAACCCCTATATATATATTTTTTAAAGTAATCTCTATACCCAATGTGGGGCTTGAGCTCACAACCCCGAGATCAAGAGTCAGATGCTCTACTGACTGAGCCAGGCAGGGTCCCCTTATTATATATATATATTTTAAATTGCAACCATCCTGGGGCACCTGTGTGGCTCAATCAGTTAAGCCTCTGACTCTTGATTTTGGCTCAGGTCATGATCCCAGGGTTGTGAGATCCTGCCCTGGCACTGGGCCCCCATGCTAGGTGTGGAGGCTGCTTGGGATTCTTTCTCTCTCTCTCTCTCTCTCTGTGCCCCTCTCCCTCTTTAAAAAAAAAAAAAAAGGAGGGGGAGGCACCTGGGTGGTGCAGTCAGTTAAGTGTCGGACGCTTGGTTTCGGCTGGGGTTGTGGTCTTGGGGTCGTGAGATCAAGCCCTGAGTCGGGCTCCATGCTGAGTGCAGGGTTTACTTGAGATTCTCTCTCCCTTGCCCTCTGCCCCTCCTGCTCGTGCTCTGTCTCTCTAAAATAAATAGATTTTTTTTAGGATTTTATTTATTTATTTGACAGAGAGAAATATAGCAAGATAGGGAACACAAGCAGGGGGAGTGGGAGAGGGAGAGGCAGGCTTCCCGCTGAGCAGGGAGCCCGATGTGGGGCTCGATCCCAGGACCCTGCGATCATGACCTGAGCCGAAGGCAGATGCCCAATGACTGAGCCACCCAGGCGCCCTATCCATTCATCTGTTGATGGACATCTGAGCTCCTTTATTTTTTGCTACTGTAAATAGTAGGTAAACTAGACTTTATAAAATTAAAAACCTTTGTGCCTCGAAGGATTCCACCAAGAAAGGAAAGAGTAGCTATAATAAAAAATAAAAGTAAAATAAGTGTTGGCAAAGTTGTTGAGAAATTGTAACACTCAGACATTGTCGGTGGGAATGCAAAATGGTGCAGCTGCTGTGGAAAACAGTTCAGTAGTTTCTCAAAATGTTAAACAAAAAACTACTATATGACCCAGAAGTTCCCCATCTAGGCATATACCCCAAAGAACTGAAAATAGGTGTTCAAGCAAGCACCTGTATATACATGTTCATAGGAGCATTAGGATGGTTGTAATTTTTAAAAAATATATAATAAGGGGAACCTGGCTGGCTCAGTCCGTAGAGCACCTGGTTTCTCTACATTGTTGCCAACACTTGCCTTTCATTATATATATATATATAT